AAAAAAAAAAAAAAAAACAGGAGTAATGCTCCCTATCTACCGTGGACATATGTTAATATGTTCACCGCTTATGTGGCATGCACATTGGTGATTTATTTTTTAAAAATATAATCACATCATCAATGTGTGCATGACACATAAGCATTGGACATATTAACATATTAACAGACCCTCTCACCTATTAATATTAATCCAAGTTGCATTATTATTGATACATTTTAGTGTTTTCAGTATGAAACTGTTACCGACAATTGTATACCGGTAACTGAACGGTTTCGTATTTGTAGATACCGAATAATTGATTCGGTATAGCGATATAAAAGGGTCGGGTTGAATATGAATTTTGGCAAACCCGAACCCGACCCGCATATAATTTACACTACTCAAACCCGACCCGTTACCCGACTAGTGTTTTTTGGGTTCGGGTTGGATTTTACCCGGCGGGTTAGTGGGTTTTCGTCGGATAAATGGGTAATCTGAGTCTTAAATTTAGGTTTTTCCCGACCCATCTCATTTCATATAAAAAAAATAATATAAAATAATTTCACAATTAATTATAATGTAAGAAATAATTTATTAACTAAGTTTGACAATAAAAAACTATAAAAAAAAAATATATTATTTTTGGAATAAATAATGATATATGGTTATTTATCTTTTGTAGTCTATTTAATATTATAATATTTAAAATAAATATTTTTTATTATAACAATTAACAATACTTATTATAACAATTAAAAAAACATAATAAAACTATAAAAAATAAACTAAAAATTTAACCATTAATTAAAATTATAATAGATAATCTATTTTTTAAAAATAACACATGACTAGTTTTATATTTATTATAAGTTATAAATACATATATGTATATGTATGTATATATATATATATATAATTCAATGGTTGCGGGTAAACGGGTAAATTATAATAGATAATCTATTTTTTAAAAATAACACATGACTAGTTTTATATATATTATTAATATAATATAACACAAGTAAGTCACGCAAATAAAAAGTATCGTAATAAATATATAATAATATATATTCTAAGAAAAGATATTTAAATTTTTAAACTACTTTTTCTCATTAATTTTAAATTTTAAGAAAAAAATTAACAATCACCGTGTAATACACGGGTGTTGTACTAGTTAAGATATTATTTTGGAACACTTGTCTATAATAAATTTTACAAAGGCTATCATGATTAGCACTAGTACAACACCCGTGTATTACACGGGTGCTTGTTAAAAAATATTCTTAAATTTTAAAATTAATGAGAAAACTATATTAAATTTAGTTTACTTTTTTACAAAAAAATACATTACTATATATTTTAAAATGATTGTGTTACTTATGACTTACATGTGTTATATTATATTAGTTTTTATAACTTATATCACATAACTACTTGAAATATAAATATGTTAGTTGATAAATAATTTTATTTTTCTAATTAATATTAATAGTAATTTTATTATTGTTATAACGAAAAATATAAATTATTTTTTTTATACATACAATATGGATGTTGAATCGAAGCTCATCAAAAAAAGATTAATTTGATATATTACATATGTAAAACTGATAAAAAATACAAAAGTTATTAACTTTGAAAATATATATACAATTCAATAGTTATGATAAGGAATGATATTAAAATGCAATTAATACATGTAACATGACCATAAATAATCAACATATTTATGGTAATCTGAACCTAATTATTTTTGGTAGGCACAGCGCGTTCTGTATTAATATATAGAGAGGATATCGAAATATTGGGTAAGAGGGACGAATTAGCATATCATTTGCAATATGGTGTTTTTAGTTGAGAAAAAAAAAAAATACTAATGTTGTATTATAGTAACAACCGCCAAGTCTCGAGACCAAATTCGAGGGCCCAAAGTAAACTAGCTAATTTTTTTTTTTTGTTTTTCCAAGACAAAGAAACAAATTTATATCACTCAAATGAAGTTCAGTACACGGCATAATCAACTGATTACAAAGCTATAGATGTCTAGGGAAAAATTACATCACAAAGCCACGAGAAAGCTAAACACTTCCCCTCCAAAGACCACACTGGTCTGAAAGTCCAGAAGCAAAATAAAAAGCACTAAATCAATCTAAAAAATCAAACAAGAAACAACATTACAAGCATCAAACATATCAAGAATGTCTTTAGCTAGGTTCCCATAATCAGAGCAAGAGACATCAGGCTTATTCAACAGCTGCACTGCCTCTTCATTGTTCAGAAAACATTTCTCAGATGTCCAATTGAGATTTTTGAACTTCTTAAGGCACCATTGAACTGCCAGTAAATAGGCCTCAATTGTTGAAATGTTTCTATGAGGTATCTCCATCCTCTCTTCCCAATGAGTCTTGTTGCCTGAATCATCTTGAGCTGTATATTCCACTTCAATGCTTCCTTCATCAGATGACTGAGCACTGATGGCCATCCATGACCAGCCTACTCTCTTAGGGACTTCATCTAATTCAGGTTCTACCTCTTTGACCAGTTTGTGACTATCCCACTCTAACCATTCTGCTTGAGCTCTATCCACAATATCCTTCTCATTGAACCAATCACCTTTGAAGACCCATTTATTCCTGCCCTTCCACAGATTCCACAGAATACAAGCAGATATTGTGATTCTTGCAGTTAAGGTCTTAGACTTACCTTGTGAGCAGATTTGAATCCACCACTTCTTGAAATCCACATCAATATTCTGCAAACTTTCCCAGTGCACTCCACTTAACTTCCAAACCATTTTAGATTTAGGGCAGAGAAAAAACAGATGGTTAAGGTCTTCAAACCCCTCACCACAGACTTTACAGACAGCATCTACCTCAATCCCTCTTTTAATCAATTTATCAGCTACTCCCAAGAAACCATTCCAGCATTTCCATATGAACAGTTTGATCTTTGGTTTGATATTCAACTGCCAAGTGAATTTCCACATAATCTGCCACCAACCTGAAGTTCCACTTGTAGAGGCCACATCTTTGCACCTGCTCTGAGCTTTGAGAATAGCTTGATAAACTGCCTTTGTAGTAAACATCCCTTTTCTTCCCCAATGCCAAATTAATCTATCATGCTTTCTAGTGTGGGATAAAGGGATTTTAAGAATTGAGTCTGCATCTATGGGATTAAAAGTTTGTAAAATCAGCTCTTGGTCCCACTCCCTACCCCCACTCCTGATCAACTCACACACTTTAACAACCCTGTTCTTATCCCCCCAGAAACAGCACTTAGGAATGAAAGTTGAATTATTAGGAATCCATGGAGAATTCCAAATATCAATAGACCTCCCATCCCCCACTTCATATCTAGCCCCAAGTCTAAAAGACCCCCTAGCACTCAGCCAGCTTTTTCAAAGCCAAGAATCACAATCCTTGGTTGTAATATCCAGCAAACTTCTATCCCAGTAATATTTCCCTTTTAAAACTCTACTCACAAGCAGATTTGGAGAAGTTTGAAGTCTCCATAGCTGTTTGACAAGTAAAGCTTCATTAAAAGCTTTAAGATCCTGAAAACCCAGACCCCCCTCTTCCTTACCCTCAACTAATTTGCCCCACTCAGCCCAATGAATCCTATTACCCCCTTTCTCATTTTTCCCCCACCAAAAGTTGGCTATTTCTCTGCAAATTTGATTAATAATGGTGACAGGAATTCTAAAACAAGACATAACATAGGTAGGTAAAGCACTCAAGACAGATTTGATCAGAATTTCTCTCCCTGAATCACTCAAATATTTGTTTTTCCAACTCAGAATTCTATTTTTCACACATTCACTCACAAACTGAAAAGTTTCTACTTTGGATCTTCCTATCCCTAAAGGTAACCCCAAGTATCTAGAGGATTTGACTTTATTGATTCCAGACAACATTCTACAGATTAGAGACTGGTTTCTCTCAGGGGTATTTTTGGAGAAAAGAATCGAAGATTTATCAAAGTTCACAGCTTGACCAGATTCAAGACCATACTGCTGAAGAAAATCATTGATCATGATAGCATGTTTGGTATCAGCTTTGCAAAATATGATTGAGTCATCAGCAAAAAATAAATGACTCACAGCAGGGGCATGTTTACCTATTTTAATACCTTGAAAGTGACCTGAGAGGCAAGCTTGATTAATAAGATTTGACAGAGCTTCAGAGACAAGAATGAATAAATATGGAGAAAGTGGATCTCCTTGTCTCAAACCCCTAGTGGGTTGCAAAAAACCAAGATGGGAACCATTTAGATTAAAAGAATAGGAAGTAGTGCACACACAAGCTAGAATCCAAGATAAGAAAGTTTCACTGAAGCCCAATTTTCTACACACTTTAGCCAGAAAAGACCATTCTACCCTATCATAGGCCTTAGCCATGTCAAGTTTAATGGCCATGAAATTCTTTTTACCTTTTCTTTTGCTATTCAAGAAATGCACACATTCATTAGCAATGACCACATTATCCAAAATTTGCCTACCAGGAATAAATGCAGATTGAGCACTAGATATGCAAATAGGAAGAACTACCTTCAGTCTGTTAGCAATAATTTTAGCTATCAATTTATAAATCACAGTACACAGACTTATGGGTCTAAAAT